CCGGTGATGGGTATTAAAGAGGGCACGTTCTGCGTGGAGCACTGGGTGTTATACACAAACAATGAATCATGGACCACTACATCAAAAACTAATGATTTAATGTATGGTGATTAACATAACAATAAAAATATTTAAAGGTAAAAAAAGTCAGCTGACTTAAAAATGTCTATTTTCTTTGACTTTGTTATTTCATGTGGAGGAATTTAAACTGATAAAATAATCACAGACATACTCAAAGACATACACAATGTACTGTTACACAGAGTACTAAAAAAAAATATAAAAAGCAAATATTCAAAGGAGATTATAAATTAACATATCCATATACTGCAACTTCTCAAGTATTATTTAACTAGTAAAATTAAAATATTTCAGATGAATTATTTTTACGACACAGGAAAATGATCATGATATATCAAGTGGAAAAAAGTCAGGTTATATAACAGACTATGATTTTCTCTTTGTATAAAGTCTACGGGTAAACACACAAACATTTATAATTTAAGACTGAAATAATATATAACAAAATAACATCTACATTTTTAAAGATTTTATTTATTTATTCATGAGACACAGAGAAAGAGAGGCAGAGGGAGAACCAGGCTTCCCGCGGAGCAGGGAGCCAGATGCAGGACTCGATCCCAGGACCCTGGGATCATGACCTGAGCTAAAGGCAGATGCTTAACCGACTGAGCCACCCAGGCACCCAGTCTTCCATCTTTTTACAGTGAACATGAATTATTTTGCAGAGGAAGAAATCTAATATTAGCTTAAAAAGTCACTATAATACTTCTTTACCAGTCTTTAAAAAAATATTGGATACTATTCACAGAAAAGCAACAAAATTCAAGATGAAAGATAATATACATTTGAGATAGATATCTAGATTAATATTGCAACAGGTAGCAAAACCTAGGGTAATTCTTAAGACTTTTTTTTTTTTTAAAGATTTTATTTATTTGACAGAGACAGCGAGAGAGGGAACACAAGCAGGGGGAGTGGGAGAGGGAGAAGCAGGCTTCCCGCCGAGCAGGGAGCCCAATGGGGGGCTCGATCCTAGGACTCTGGGATCATGACCTGAGCCAAAGGCAGACGCCCAAAGACTGAGCCACCCAGGCGCCCCTCTTCAGACTTTTGTTTAGATCACACAATGCCAGTTTATTTTTATTTAACGGTCAATATAGCACTATTACAGTTACACAAACTTTGGGTAAGGTTTAAAACAGCTTAGAAGTTATTCTCAAATGGTAACCAGGTGAGTGTTATTTTATGAAGAGAGTAAAAACCGGCTATTTCTCAAAACCACTGAAGTTCCTACTGATGATTCCAACCCCAGTGTCCTCTGCCTTTCATCATGGGCACCTGCCTCTTAGGCTTATATTAAACCTGTCTTGCCTTTAAATGATAGTTAAATGCTGAGAAATTCAGAGGATATAGTTTATCTAGGAAGCTGACTGAGTAACTTCAACTCCACTTATCTCACCAAAAAAAAAACAATTCTGGGGGCGCCTGGGTGGCTCAGTTGGTTAAGCGACTGCCTTCGGCTCAGGTCATGATCCTGGAGTCCTGGGATCGAGTCCCGCATCGGGCTCCC